GACCGTCGGAAAAATCCCATAGACGTAACATTGGATAAAACTTTGTGACCTCATAACTCCGCATCAGAATGTCACACAGACTTCTAACTGGGTTCATTTAACTCAGACTATCAAACTGCCAATGACTGACCACCTTTAAACTTTCTGGCCACGCCCTAGCAACCACTTTTGGACCCTAGAAACCGTCCCATAGACTTCCATTGCAAAATACTCTCATTGACTTTACATGGGATCAAACTTTGTGAGCTCATAACTCTGCATCAGACTGTCATACAGACTAATGGCTAGGCTCATTTAACTCAGTCTAGCCAGCAGCCAATCACCGATGGCCTTTTAACTTTCTAGCCACACCCTAACAACCAGATACTGCACCCTAGCAACTGTCCCATAGACTGCAATTAAAGAGGTTCAGACTGATATTGTCATGCTGCAGTGTGATAGAGACATGGGGGTTGTGTTTAACTGTTCATACTGGCAAGAAGCTTTGATACATCATCAGTCTAAGCTGTCAATCAACTCCATAGCAACAAAACAGACTAACCTAGCAACGATATGGCACCAGCTATATCTCAGCATCAGAACATCGTAGAGAGGCGGGGGTTGGCTTGTTTGACTCATGCTCTTACACCATCTATCTATCTATCTATCTATCTATCTATCTATCTATCTATCTATCTATCTATCTATCTATCTATCTATCTATCTATCTATCTATCTATCTATCTATCTATCTATCTATCTCTACCTATCTATCTATCTATCTATCTATCTATCTATCTATCTATCTATCTATCTATCTATCTATCTATCTATCTATCTATCTATCTATCTACCTTTATCTATCTACCTCTATCTATCTATCTATCTATCTATCTATCTATCTATCTATCTATCTATCTATCTATCTATCTATCTATCTATCTGTCTGTCTGTCTGTCTGTCTGTCTGTCTGTCTGTCTGTCTCTATCTATCTATCTATCTATCTATCTATCTATCTATCTATCTATCTACCTCTATCTATCTATCTATCTATCTATCTATCTATCTATCTATCTATCTATCTATCTATCTATCTATCTATCTATCTATCTATCTATCTATCTATCTATCTATCTATCTATCTATCTATCTGTCTGTCTGTCTGTCTGTCTGTCTGTCTGTCTGTCTCTATCTATCTATCTATCTATCTATCTATCTATCTATCTATCTATCTATCTCTATCTATCTATCTATCTATCTATCTATCTATCTATCTATCTATCTATCTATCTATCTATCTATCTATCTATCTATCTATCTATCTATCTATCTATCTATCTATCTATCTATCTATCTACCTCTACCTATCTATCTATCTATCTATCTATCTATCTATCTATCTACCTCTACCTATCTATCTATCTATCTATCTATCTATCTATCTATCTATCTATCTATCTATCTATCTATCTATCTATCTATCTACCTTTATCTATCTACCTTTACCTATCTATCTATCTATCTGTCTGTCTGTCTGTCTGTCTGTCTGTCTGTCTGTCTCTATCTATCTATCTATCTATCTATCTATCTATCTATCTATCTATCTATCTATCTATCTATCTATCTATCTATCTATCTATCTATCTATCTATCTATCCATCTTGCTAACAACATGCTAATTCATGCTAGAATCATGCTAGTTACATGCTAATTCATGCTAGAATCATGCTAGTCACATGCTAATTTATGCTAAAACCATGCTAGTAACATGCTAATCCATGCTAGAATCATGCTAACAACATGCTAATTCATGCTAGATTCATGCTAGTAACATGCTAATTCATGCTAGAATCATGCTAGTATCATGCTAATTCATGCTAGCATCGTGCTAACAACATGCTAATTCATGCTAGAATCATGCTAGTAACATGCTAATTCATGCTAGAATCATGCTAACAACATGCTAATTCATGCTAGAATCAAGCTAGTAATATGCTAATTAATGCTATAATCATGCTAACAACATGCTAATTCATGCTAGAATCATGCTAGTAACATGCTGATTCATGCTAGAATCATGCTAACAACATGCTAATTCATGCTAGAATCTTGCTAACAACATGCTAGTTCATGCTAGAATCATGCTAACAACATGCTAATTCATGCTAGAATCATGCTAGTGAAATGCTAATTCATGCTAGAATCATGCTAACAACATGCTAATTCATGCTAGAATCATGCTAGTAACATGCTAATTCATGTTAGAATCATGCTAACAACATGCTAATTCATGCTAGAATCATTCTAACAACATGCTAGTTCATGCTAGAATCATGCTAACAACATGCTAGTTCATGCTAGAATCATGCTAACAACATGCTAATTCATGCTAGAATCGTGCTAACAACATGCTAATTCATGTTAAAATCATGCTAACAACATGCTAATTATTGCTCAAATCATGCTAGTAACATGCTAATTCATGCTAAAATCATGCTAACAACATGCTAATTCATGCTAAAATCATGCTAGTAACATGCTAATTCATGCTAGAATCATGCTAACAACATGCTATTTCACTTTAAAATCATGGTAATAACATGCTAATCTATCTATCTATCTATCTATCTATCTATCTATCTATCTATCTATCTATCTATCTATCTATCTATCTATCTATCTATCTTTCATACTTTTTAAAACTGTTTAAACTAAATAAACTATTACCGTCAGGCTTTCACAAGCCAGCCTCAAAGTTTGTTCTCAAACTTTAAGAATCTAGTTATATTTAAAGATGCTCACAGGCCACATCCCCACACCCTTTTTTCTGCTCGCATAAAAAGACTAAATCAATAGGCCATGCGGAATTATCCTGTTAAAGCAAAACATCCCATAATGTTCATTAAGTGTTGTTATCTGTGCTGGCTTGTAATAGTCCTCTGCAGTCTTTATCGTCTTCTGTTAAGTGATATATCTTCATCTTGTGTTGTATTTGCATGCAGGAGATTGGATTTGAATGTGATTTATGTCAGTGGTATTCAGTACATCTAGTGCTTAGCTTTGCATCGCACCCTTATCTTAAACACAGTTTCAGATTGCATGCATTTCAGTGTACCAAATGTCTTCTAATCTGTTTGGTGTGTGATTGATTTAGGAGGGAAACCAGGCAGCGGATGTAGAAACTTACTCTGCTCCAAAGTCTCCCAGACTCAGTCCTACGTGTAAGCACATGGTAAGATTCACTATTAGTCTTTAGCAGTAAGGTTGTGAATTTGACTCATTTAAAAGTGCTGTATGTATGTTTTTGACTCCTCTAAAGCCTAAAAATACCATAATATGTTTGCAGATAGTTTGGAAACATGCTAAGTGAACATTCTTGTTTATCTGTAAAACAATGCTGAAGTGAGATGTTCTGCTTTGAAAATGTGAGAAAATGCGAGTTACGTGCTGGAACGCTGTCTTTGTTTTTTGTCTTTTAACACGCCCACTGCCAATTTAGCCAATTATATTTCAGCACCCCGGGTTGCCTTGGTGGAAAACAATGTATTTCAATCATTCATTCAGGAAGGCTCTCAAAGTGTGCGTTAGTGACCGAAATGCAACCTCCGGTGGACAGTAGCAGACTCCAAAATGAGACGCAGATTCAGAGTTCCACATGAGGTGGTTATTAATTAGCAAATAAAATAAATATTACGAATGTAAACATTAGGTGAGCAGGTTACATTGTAACCCGGTGTCCTAACAACATGATACGTGAAGAGATATGCAGTGATTAGCAATTTGGCTGTTTGCACCAGACAAAACACGACAGAAATTTAAATAAATCCATTCAGAAGCACTGAATAGCACTCTACTGCAATTCAGCAACTCACTGCACTCTAACAAAATGGTAAGGTTTATAACCTAATTAATACTTATTAAACCTCTTTAACATGATTAGATTTATATGCTGAATCACTGATATGTGTTGGTTTGTACTGAGTCAATTCTAAAGTCCAATTTCAAACAGTTTATTTTATTTTCAAGATCCGAGGTGAACTATCTGCTGATGCTTTCAGCAGTATGGCGATAAATATCATGTACATTGGCTGAATAAAGCACATGAGGTGTACCTGAGGTGATCATTGTTTTCTGTTGTTCAGCTGCAAGAAATAGAAGCCGTTTCTGAAATATTAATTTCAGGTTAGAACAAAAACTCCCTTTAATATGGAAAATATTCTAGAATAAAAGCTAGAATAAAAGCAGTTCTTAATTTTTTTTTTAAAACTATCTTAGGGTCAATATTATTAGCCGCCTTAAGCAATATTTTTTGATTATCTACAAAACAAACCATTGTTAATGCAATGAGTTGCCTAATTAAGCTAATTAACCTAGTTAAGCCTTTAAATGTCACTTTAAGCTGAAATCTATTATCTTGAATAGTATAAAGTGAAATATTATGTGCTGTAATCATGGCAAAGATAAAATAAATCAGTTATTAGAAATTAGTTATTAAAACTATTATGATTAGAAATGTGTTGAAAAAATATACTTTCCGTTAAACAGAAATTGGGGAGAAAATATACAGGAGGGCTAATAATTCAGCAGGGCTAATAATTCTGACTTTAATTGTAAGTCTATATTGCCTGACAGATTTTTTTTTTCTAGCAGAGCTCGTCCAGTGGTGAGGTGCCGTACCTGGGCACTTATCTGACCGTTCTCACCATGCTGGACACAGCGCTGACTGACAATGTAGAGGTGAGACTCTTTAAATTCATTTCGCACATATACTGCTTTTTATTTCAGTTTCCTAATGGAACCTGATTTAATGAAAACATAAACTCTTTGTGCTCACAGGGAGGCCTCATCAACTTCGAGAAGCGACGAAAAGTAAGTAAAAATGCATGAAAAATGAATGCATGTAAATCTGATGTTTTAAGTACTGACCAATGAAGTTTAGCTGCTCACGTGTCAAGATGCATGACTTTTTTTTTGGTGTCCTGTCCTTTTGTGTGTTTAGGAGTTTGAGATTCTGTCTCTAATCAGGCAGCTGCAGGCGTCATGTGCTCACTACACTCTCCAATCACATCCTCGCATCATTTCCTGGATCAACAGCAGCATGAGTCTTTCTGATCAGAAGAGGTGAGACATTTAAATGCACATGCCTTACACATGACATAACAAAGCAAACATTAGAAAATCTTTTTTTTTTTTATTAGAATATGCAAAAATTATACAAATACAAGAAAAAGTCAACAAATAACAAATACAAAGCAACGAAACAAAAACAAAACAAAAACAATAACAATATAGTCATGTACTGGTATGTGCGTGAGTGTGTGCGTGTGAGTGTGTGTATGCATGTAAAGGTAACTTGGTGGACAGATCAGAGTACATACATAAGGGAGGGAGTAACAACAATGCTAATTAATGTATGATAGTAAAAATGAGAGTAAAAAGAAAGAATGGACAACAGTAATAAATGACAACAATAATAATAAATCACAAGTGCTACACCAACTACTACTACAGAAAGTTACTTATATAACAACTACTTCTTGTTAGAAAATCATTTTTAACATTTTATTTGGAAGATATTTGAGCTCTACTGATGTCAGAAATGTTTGCATCCAGTGTGCAAGAGTTGGGAAAATTACTTCATAAAAGTAATTCGTTTCTAATTGCATCATTCATTCGTTCATTTTCTTTTCGGCTTAGTCCCTTCATCAATCTGAGGTCGCCACAGCGGAATGAACCGCCAACTTATCCAGCATATGTTTTACACAGCGGATGCTCTTCCAGCTGCAACTTCACAGGGAAATCTAGTTGCATCATTAAAACTGTATTTCAAATTTCAATTAGAGCTGTGACGATGGCAATTTTTTACTACCCGGTCGGATCACCACCATAACAAGGGCGGTTGTTGGTGACTTACCACCGCGGGAGTAGATAATTGCCACTGTCACAGCTCTACTTCAAAGTAGGGCTGCTCGATTATGGGAAAAATCATAATCACGATTATTTTGCTGTAATAATTGTAATTATTGTATTAACGATTAACAAATAATTGTAATAACGATTATTGAAAATGATATACAGTTAAAGTCAAAATCATTTGAATTTTTTTTATAAATATTTCCCAAACAATGTTTAACAGAGCAAGGAATTTTTCGCAGTATTTCATATAATATTTTTTTCGTCTGGGGAAAGGCTTATTTGTCTTATTTTGGCTAGAATAAAAGCAGGTTTAAATATTTTGAAACCATTTTTAAGATCAATAATATTAGCCCCCTTAAGCAATATATAGTTTTGATTGTCTGCAGAAGAAACTACTGTTATACAATGACTTGCCTAATTAACCTAATTAAGCCTTTGAATTGCATTTTAAGCTGAATACTTGTGTCTTGAAGAAAATCTAGTAAGTAGTATGTACTGTCATCATAGCAACGAAATGAGTTATTAAAACTATTATGTTTAGAAATGGGTTGAAAAAACACTTTCCAATAAAAAGAAATTGAGGGGAAAAGGGTCGCTAATAATATTAGCTACTAGTTACTTTGTGACTAATTGCAACACTGACAGATGAATAAGCCTCTCAGATATTTCAGTAGTAACTGTAAGTGCTTCTCTCTCACAAGCTATGAGTTGTCAAGAGAGCTGGAGCCCCCGGTTGACCCCTGTCCCAGCTCTCCAAACTCCTGGAGTCACAGGCTCATCGCCAAGAAACTGAATTTGTAAGTGCTGTTATTCCTGTGATTTATTACATTTATTACAGAAAATATGCAAATTTTACAACTCCCCTAGTTTTAAACAGTAGATTTTTACAATTTTTGAATCCATTTAGCTAATCTTCGAGTCAGATGACAACTCTTTTAGCTTAGCTTAGCATAAATCATTGAATCTGATTAGACCATTAACATCTCACCGAAATGGCTTGGAACTATAGTCTTATTCTGGTGTAATTATCAAGGAACTTTGCTGCTGTACCATGGCTGTAGCAGGCGCAAGGATATTACCCATCACTGATACCTAGTTACCAATAGCTCAGGACTATTTTCAGGTGCTGCGTGATATAATTTCACCTGCTGCAGGCATATCAGCCTTGAATAGCAACTTTTTATTTTCCGTCGATACACAGTGCAACTAGAGAAGAGTCAAACTTTAAAAAGATATAATTATGATACGTCTTTTTTATGTTAAGTGAGATGCTAATAGTCTAATCTGATTCAATGACTTATGCTAAGCTAAAATAATAGTGCTTTCACTAGACCAGAGATCGGCTGAATGGATTAAAAAATGGTAAAATTCATCTGTACTCTAGGGGAGTCTGTCCAAAACAGTGTAGTGTTTCTTTAAAGCAACTGGTTTCATTTTGTATGTTCAGACTCAGAACATTCAGAAAGTAATAAGGCATCTTGCTAACTCACTTGTGACGTGTGTTTCTCTTCTCCTCCTTCAGATTGCTGTCTGCCACTGAGAACTTCTCAAGGAAAACTCTTGCCGATCAGATCAGCGTGTCGTCCTCAGGCTCCAGCGGCTCAGACATGGAGGATCTCGGCAGAGATCTCAGCAGCCCCAACCTCTCACCTCTTGTGTATAAGGTATGGGTAAATTCAAATCTGCAGAACTACTTGCTTTTTAGTTGTCTACTACCCCAGAACGTGCTAACCACTGTGCCACCGTGCCGAATTTATAGCTAAACTTTTATGTATTCTATGAATGCATCTGTCGTCATAAGCGTAGCCTTCTCTCTTTCTCTCACACACACACTCACTCACATTACGCTTTATAATGAATAATTCTAACTAGATGTGTTGATGTAAATAACTATTTTTCATTCCTTCATTCACAGTCACCGTCAGTTTCCTGTCAGGACATCTCGGTAGACACGCCAACCTCATCTCCGACTCCACCACCTTCCTGTCAAAGATCCCTACAGGCAGATCTGCCTGAAAGCCCCTCCTCTACTTCATCATCATCTTCATCATCCTCTCCATCCCTACATCAACGCTGTGCTCTGCATCCCATGTACAACAAGCAGGTTGCAGATTCCTGTATCGTCAGAGTCAGCGTGGAATTTGGCAACAATGGAAATGTTTATAAAAGTATTCTGGTAAGCCATGATTTTATGTTATTTTATTTTATCTTTAATTTTATTTACATGAGTTTTATTTTATTATTTTATTTTATCTTATTTTATCGTATTTTATTAATCTTTTATTTTATCTAATTTAATTTTATCTTGTTTTATTTTATTTTTAATTTAATTTAATCTTTAATTTAATTTACATGGATTTTATTTTATTATTTTATTTTATCTTTTTTTATTTTACTTTCAATTTGATCTTTAATTTTATTTACACAAATTTTATCTTATTTATTTTATTTTATTGTATTTGTCCAATGCTTTCATGACCTTATTTTAGTCAGTTTCTTTGTTTCTTTTTCTTAATTAATTTGATCCTATGCATGCTTCACCTAATTTTATTTTATTATTATTATTTTTTTAATATTTTATTTAAATGATGTTGATTTTGTTCATGCATGACCTTATTTCATTATTTTATTTTATTAATTATATTGATCCCATGAATGCATGACCTTGTTTTACTTTCTTTTTAATTTATTTAATTATTTTTATATAACTTTATTGATTTTATGTATACATAATTTTATTTTAGTTATTATTTTATTAATTATTTTTATTCTATGCATGCACAACCTTATTTTACTTAAATTATTTTATCAAATTAGTTTATATTACTATATTGATCCTATGCATGCATGACTTTATTTTAATTATTATATTATTAATTATTTTGATCCTATGCATGCATCCCCCTTATTAACTAGGCAGGTTAAGGTATTTAGAAAATGTATTGTTTAACAATAGTTTGTTCTGTAGACTAAAAAGCTTAAGGGGGCTTATAATTTTGACTTTAAAATGGTTTTTAAAAAATTAAAAACTGCTTTTATTCAATTAAATAAGACTTTCGCCAGAAGAAAAAATATCATCAGACATACTGTGAAAATTGTATTGCTTTGTTAAACATCATTTGGGAAATATTTAAAAAAGAAAAAACAATTCAAAAGGGGGTTAATATTTCTGACTTTAACTGTATATTGCAGAAAATCTAAATATCGCAATGTGTGTTTTTTTCCAATATTGTGTGGCCCTAACATACATGCATGACTTTATTTTATTTTATTTTATTTTTTAGCAGGTGCATAATTGTTAGATCCAATAATTCTGCTCTGAAACTGACTCTTAAAATGCCTGATCTCTTTATGTTCAGATAACCAGTCAGGACAAGACAGCTCAGGTGGTTCAGAGAGCTCTGGAGAAGCACAACCTGGAGGAGATGAACTGCCAAGATTTTACTCTCACACAGGTGCTTTCTAATGACAAAGGTGAGCTTCTTAATCTGTACAGATTTTTTAAAATGAATTATTTTTTATTTCAGTCATTGTTATTTTAATAATTACCTATAAAGAACCAGCACCATTAACTAACATACTAGTACTGCTTTCCTAAAAAAAACATGCTTGAAATGCATAAAAGGGCTAATTTATTTTTCTAATTTAAAATGTTCTTAACTTGATTGTCATTGTAAATTCACATTTTAGTCATGTATAGTGTTTGTTTACATTTTATATATGCTGTGTATATAATATAAAAACAATCAGATATATCAGGCTGGAAAAATGTTCTTAACTTGATTGTCATTGTATATTCACATTTTAGTCATGTATAGTGTTTGTTTACATTTTATATATGCTGTGTATATAATATAAAAACAATCAGATATATCAGGCTGGAGTTAAATTAAAATATTATGAATATGAATTAAAATATGAATATAAATAATGAAATAATTTGTACTCGATTATAAATAAAAGTACGTTTATCTAAAAAAATATTAAAATAAAAAAAAAACATAAAATGAAGTAAATAATTATCATCTCATGCACACCTTATGGGACAACACTGGAATACATCGGGGCGAGCATCAAGGTGAGCAGTCACATACATCTAGCCGCAGAAGTTCAAATATTGCAACTGTGGAAATATAATTTATATAATCTAGTTCTAAATTAACAATGATATTTCTTGAAGACACTGTATGACTGCAGACTAACCAACACGTCTCAATTAAAAACATTCTGCTTGTTCAAGTCTCCTGGACCGGGTTCTCATCTTCATTCTTATTTTTCTCAACATAACCTGCAAATAATTTGCAGCTCAAATCGTATTCGAATAACGATTATGATCCTGCCACAAACTAACACTGTTTTCAGTATTACAACACTGTTAGTTTGTATAAAACATTGGTTATGTTTAGTACAGAAGGTTTTTTACTACATATTTACCTCTCAATAAATCAGTGTCTCGTTTTTGTATTTATCAGAGTTGCTGATCCCAGACAAGGCCAACGTGTTTTATGCCATGTGCACCACTGCCAACTATGACTTTGTGCTCCGTCAGCGTTACAAACACCTCAGTAGAGCCACCGGACCATCCTGGAGTCCAGGAGCAGTGGTGAGGAGCCGCAAATAACCTACATGACAAAAGATAATAAATAAAACTGCATAGAACAAACAGTCTGTTCACAAATACTGAGCTGATGAAATGGGGAATACTGAATGGTGAAGCTTGGGATAATATAAGAACACAGACTCTGGAGCATCTCAAGCTCAATTATGTGTCGTTGATAAAATAATGAAGAAACTTTAGCTTTCTATAGCTGCTAAAACCGGTGGAAACTGAAGGAACGAAGGCTCAGAGGAAGCTGCAATAAACGGCCACATCTACTGCCAGATTACTCAAAGGTTTTGCTTTGAAATGGGACAGGCGTTAGCATCTGGATGTACTGTAGGTGAGTGAGCAGAGTTTTTAATGTAGCTAATATTCAGTGAGGACTGAATAGAAATTTATTTGAAGGAATTCAGATCATTCTTTAAGATAATATATTTATAATTGAATTTTAATAAAGATCACTTTATTTTGTCTGTGATATTTTAACGGTTTGCTGCAGTTTTAAGGTGTTTTACTTTTGTATGTGCAAGTTAATCTCTCTTTGTTTAGCTGTCTTGTTTTGTGTTAAAGTGCTTTTAATTTTAGCTGTTTTTTAATGTGCGGTAGTTTTTTTTAACACTATATATTTTTAGACTTTTAATAATGGAAGATGTTCATTTATTTTTGTATTTTGGCCTAATGTTTGTCCTTATGAAGGATTCACGCACTTCATGATCACTTTTTTAGATGTGTTTTTTCTAGTGGTGTCAAATGAAGTTAACTCATCCATATTGGATCTCTTGTGGCTTTCTGAGCAAATGCAATTCTGAGAAGTGAAGAGACTCTGTATGTGCTTTGTGAAAGGTAAAGCAGGTTAGTCGCTGACGTCTGTGTGAAAGGGTTTGCTGCTAAATAGTGATGCAGGTGTTTGTTTTCCTGGAATCTACAGTAAGTGTTTTTCTGCCAAATGAAACAGGGCCTGAATCAGCATTAAATGCACACGTCTGCTGTTTTTGCACAGAAAGCCACAATTCTTGACTGAAATGTGTGTCTGTCTTCGTGTCAATGTGTAATTAAAATTTAATTTGGCACTTAGTGTTGTCTGTTTTGCATACTTTCACTTTTGATTGGTTGAATGTTACACACTTTAATCACACACTTTTCAGAACTACAGAATTGTCAGTTCAGTTATATTTTATACTGTTTTCTTGCCAAAAAATAGCCTGTAAATTACAATCTGAAGCTATTATTACACTGTTTTTGTATTTATTTAAAATATAACTTGAATTAAATATAAAATACTTTTATTTTTTCGATATTGTATGTTTAATTTCATTTAATTTGAACATTTTAATGTAAATATAAAGTGCCCAGCACAAGTGAGTATACCCCTTACAGATACATTCATCCATTTTCCTTCGGCTTAGTCCTTTTATTCATCAGTAGTCGCTACAGTGGAATAAACCACCTTTTTCTAGCATATGTTTTACACAGCAGATGCCTTTCCAGCTGCAACCCAGTACTGGAAAACATCCATACACACTCATTCACACATATACACTATGGCCAATTTAGTTTATTCCCTTCACCTATACCTCATGCCTTTGGAATGGGGGAAACTAGAGCACCCGGAGGAAACCCACTCCAACATGGGGAGAACATGCAAACTCCACACAGAAATATCAACTGACCCAGCTGGGACTCAAACGAGTGACTTTCTTGCTGTGAGGCAACAGTGCTAAAAACTTTTGCATGTTCTTCCCTTGTTAGCATGGGTTTCCTCCTAAGTTGGTGGTTCATTCTGATGTGGGGAACCTGATAAATAAAGGGACTAAGCCAAAGTAAAATGAATAATTGAATGAATATATAGTTTATGAGAAAAGGATAAAAATATTGACCTTTTAAAGTGTGTGTCTGCATGTGTGTGAGATGAAATTTTGTATAACTACATTATTGTTTTTTTTTTTAAGATTTATTTTTGGCCTTTATTAGATAGGACTGTATTTAGACAGGAAGCAAAGTTGGAGAGAGATGGGGGTATGGAAATGTCCTCGAGCCGGGATTCGAACTCGCGATACCCTGACGTGCTATTGCACCACATGTTGGCGCGCTAACCACTAGGCTATTGTGCCAACAACATTAGTGTTTCCAAGAATTATGTTGGTTTTGTAGTTTAAGTTTGTTACTATACTGAATAGAATAAAGAGTACACTTCTAAAGGGATTAAAAATTATTTAAAAGTTAACTATTTGGGAAACACAGATGATCACAATTAATTCAGATTCATGGAGGGAATTTATTTGGAAAAATGTACTCAGGTTCTTTATGACCCCTAAAATAAAATACTTCCAAAGTAGCGATTAAAAAAAATGGTGAATGCTGGAGAACAATGTATTGGCAGGTCATGTCCACATATTTTGGGATTGTTAAATTTTACACACCTATTGACAAGATTTAAATAAAGAGAAAAAGCAATAATGTGATTAAATCTGGAGTGTAATTTTAAAACTATGTACCTGAGAATCTACTCTGCAGAAATACCAAACAATGATGTCTATCTTCTTTACACACTACTAATAACTAACAAAAAGGCAATTACACAGAAATGGCTCAAGGAAGATCCTCCATCTGTAGGCGAATGGTATGATATTGTAAAAGAGGTGGGGTAAACGCTTGAAAAGAAATGTATTGTTTTAATTTCATTGTGGTGCTTTTACTTCATATAAGTTTGGAGGCTGTTGATCTTTGACGCGTAACCCTTAACAAAATTTCATATAGCAACATTTTATCAACGATAAATACGAATGTAAATAAGATTGTATTCGGTGACCTTTGACACTTGTCTTTTTTGTTTCCATGTTGCTTTAAAAATGTCTGTTTTTTTGTACTGCTGTTTTGTTTGTTTTGCTCTAAACTGTTTTGAAAAAGGGTAAAATACATACATATATATAAAAAAATGATTAAAAAGACGCAGTCATGATAATAATAAGTAACCCAGAGGTCATTCTGGTACTACAAATTAGAGCAAACAGTGGTCAGCTGTGTCACATGTTAAATGGCCGTTAAGTTTTTTCTATAAAGAATTTTGAGTAAGCACTACTAAAGATGCCTTTCATCGTACAAAAGATCTATTTTACAAATAATAGGACCAAATTTAAAGAATTAATGTTAAACTTTTACTTTTGATATAAAAATACATTTTTTGTTTTCAAAACTAACGTTATTGATAAGTCTTGTGTCATCAATCTAATTTATAACTAACAAGAGCAATTCAATCATAACTTGCTGTTAAAATAGCTATCATAACATTTATCATGCTTCTTTTTGGATTCTCGGAAGCTATAGAAATCAAAAATGGAAAAAAGGAAAAACGTTTGCACCATTGTTTTTGTTTACATCCCTCAAAATGGCCTATAGTAAAAGCCTATCTTGTAATTGAAAGGGAGAACACAGCCTGAAGAAATAAGCTATTGCAAAAGTCTTGTCTTTTCACAATGAAATAATAAGTGAATCCGAGTTTCGTCTTTAATCTTACAAAATGAGCACGAGCTGTCAACCTCCATTTATTAAAGTTTTGTCAAAACTATGCATAAACAAACCAATGACGACCTTGAGCATCCTCCACCGCCTACCGCAAGATGGCGCCGTTGTCCGTTTACTGTAGTTTGACTGTTGGTACTCTGTTCAGTGGTGACCGCGCGTCAGGCTGAACTCGTGTACTTTTCAGGTGGGTTAATTTATTATTTCTCCTTATTTCATCAATTAACTGTTTTCTAATTAATTTCAGTGTAGTTGCTAATTTCTTTAAGTCGTTAACTTACTCGGTTGTACATTCATCCTGATACACACTCGACGAGTGGGGGTTGCAATTTGTGGCGCAGGTCAATAGGGAGCAGTTTTTAAGTTTATAGTTCATAATATAATATAGAGTAAACTGTTTGGCGAGGATTTCCATTTATATTATGTATTATTCACATGTAGTCTCTCTCCAAACAGTTCACATGGTTTTCCAATAGAGGGAAGCAGAGTAGCATCAGGCATTCAGTTTTGGGAGTGCCGTATTTTGTGTTACATCACGACTGCTGCTTAAACCAGCTCAAATGAATGATTTTACAAACCGATTACTCCTTTAAAATGGCAATAAAGTAGACTCCAAGCAAGAATGTTAAGTTTATCTACTATAACACACACATAGGTAATATCCAAGACTAAAAAAATATGATCAGTCTAAAAATTATGCTTAAGTTTGACATATATTTTTCACATTTATTCATGTTTTTAGTATTACTTTGAATGTAGCTGTCATTACTGAAATACCATTTTTTGTTTTATTTAAAAAATGTCTTTGCCTAAATTGCCACAAAAAATATTAAGTAGCGTAACATTTGGATTACAATTTCAGTATGTTTTACTTGAAAAATGACATGCATAATTTATGAAGATTGTTATTTGTCATAATATCATTCTCCGTAATTTTGTAGAAGGGATAAAAATGAAAATTTCTCATAAATTAGAGCCAGATTGCTGAAATATTACTAAAGAAAGAAAATCAGCTTTATCAAAATTTACTCTACGTTTGGTTTTTGACCACTCAAACTTAAAACTTAACTTCTTAAACTTTCCGGACCAAGAATGACGTCATGATTTCTTTGAAATTGTAAAGGTTTGTGTTCGGCCAGTATGACTCTGACATATGATACCATTAAAAAGCGTAGAATCTACGTTTTATGCAGATATGCTTACATTTTTTCTGCAGATTGTTTTGACATTTATTTTACAGCAAAACAGCAATTAACATTCATTTAAACATTCATTTAAACTTAGAATTTGTTCACGAAAAAAGTGCCTGTTTTTGAGAAGATTTATTAACACAGACAACCTATACAATCATTTTTATCACTTTTTTGTGCAATTTTAAACGGGTTTTATGTGAAATGATATCAAAACATTCCATGTGGGTTTAGGAAGAATTTAGGCCAGGCTTATTGGAAATATGTGCCTCAGCCTACATTTTTTATATTTTTTTGAGACATAAAATATGTTGTGTTGTTGAAACCGATGTGTTTTTAAAAGCAACAGTAAGAGAAAAATGCAGTAAAACTTTGCAGTTTTACCTTAATCTTACATTACTTTAATCTGTTGATACATGAAACCATGCTTCACTGGACTCAAACTTGAGTTCTTTGCATTACAAATACAACACGTACAAGGTGAGGTACTGAGCAAACTGACCACACCAGAAAAGTTATCCAAATGCACCATATAGGTAACGTAAATGTATTAAATTACAAATTATAGACACTGATAAGTTGTTTTGTGGTATCTATTTGGTTTTGTGCTGAGAACTGCATGGAAATAAGAATTTATTTGTCGATAATATGTCCCTCTAAATATGCTTAATGTAAAAAGAAACAAAAAGTTGTAGGCGTCAAACTGCTCTGTAGCATTTATTTGACCTAGAAACTGCTGTCTAATATATGTTGCAGTATGTTTTTTTGCGGTTTCACAAAAATGTTGGCTGAAGCACATATATAAAATGAGCCTGTGTTGCAAGATTTTCAATTAGGCTAGGGCAAGTATAGACAGAAACCCCCTAAACCGCTAGAAAGTGCTGTTTCTTATATCTGAAATGTAATCATTGGCCTATATAAATCTACAAGATTGATTACGACAGCAGATGTTGCTAACAGGCCTGCCAATCTCCGTGTAATCATAAAATCATCTTTCCAAAGTCATTTTTACCTCCTGTAGTTAGTAATTTACCCCTTTAAGAAATGATATATACATCCATGACAATTAATAATGAGGCTCTCTTCCTTATTTATGCATTTCTTTTATCAGATAAAAAAAAAATCAAACCTTTTAAGCATGAGATCTCGGCAGGTTGAGTTTAGAAGAACAGTGAAAGTCAATGTTTTGATGGTTGATTAAAGGGAATTTAAAAAAAATCAGAAAATGATGAAACACCATAAATAATCAATGTTTGTTCTCTGTAGTCATTAGCATCAGATGTAGATGTTCAATAGCATTTGGATGATTTCATATTTACTCTATATATAAACAAAACTGGAGTGAGTCGTAGGGCTTTTCAGTTTACCAACCTTGACTGGTAAATAGTTTTTCATACTTCATATAGTTTTTTTTTGTGAAACTGTTTTTCAAAGTGCTGTTTAGCAAAGAGATTTTCTTTGATACTTTGTAGTTTTAATAACTCAATTCTTTTGTCTTTGCCATGCCGACAGTATATAATATTTTTCTAGTTATTTTTATAGTGAAAAAAAAACATACTTTTCTAGAATTCCCTGCATGGCACTTCACTTTTTGTGCTTTTTAGTTGACTTTACTAAGGTTCTTTTTAGTTTTAGTTTTTTTTTTGGTTTTGAGTGATGCACATTTTTTTACATCACAGTTTTGTTACATCTAATGTTAGTAATGAATGTTTATTGCATAATAATAGTTTTATGTCTGTTACTATGGTGTTTAGTAGTTGTGTGATTGACATTATTCATAACATATATTAGTATGATTTTTCTTTGCTTGTTGGAAAAGTAGTTTGTTATGAGCCTTGGTTCATTCATTATTTTCTCATCCACACATGCTTGCGGTTGTCTTTTTTGTCTGTGTAATTCTTTGAAACATTAGTGTATAATTAAAAGAAATGTACAAAATAGTAATTTACCGTAAACCATAGAAATTTCTTTACGTTTTAAGCATATTTTTAACAGTTGAATTCCGGCAACCACAACTACTGTTTTTTTATCCTAAATTTTACGTTTTTTTCTTTGGATTTTTTATGGTACAGATTAAAGTGCAATTTAAGAACTCAAGGTTAATTTGGTTAACTAGGCAAGTTAAGTTATTGGTTGACAGGGGCTTGTCCTCTAGCAAATTTAAAATAAATTGTTATAATATTGACCACAGACATTTTAACATTTTTAAAAATGTTTTTAAAAAAATGTTTAAAAGTGTTTTTTTTATTCTAGCCAAAGTGAAAGAAATAAAGGTTTGACAAGTTGTGCATTCAGAGATGCTATTCTGTTGCCTTTCTATCAGATCGAACCGGTCTGGCCATTCTCCTCTGAATTTGTGCCCACAGAACTGCCGCTCACTGGATATTTTGTCTTTGTCAGATCATTCTCTGTAAACCCTAGAGATTGTGTGTGAAAATCCAAGTAGATCAGCAGTTTCTGAAATACTCAGACCAGCATGTCTGGCACCAACAACCATGCCACGTTCAAAGTCACTTAAATCACCTGATGCTCAGTTTGACCATGTCTACCAGACTAAATGCATTGAGTTGCTGCCATGTGATTGGCTGATTAGAAATTTGCGGTAACAAGCAGTTGGACAGGTGTACCTAATAAAGTGGCCGGTGAGTGTATGTAAAGGGTTACCAAATCTTCACAGGAGGGCTAATCATTTTGTGTTTAACTACATTTTGATTCTGTTATTTTTTTTAGCTGTGCTTATTCAATTGAGATTCTGGTTGACGTTTTGTGTTTAGCATTTCTTTCGAGACTTTCAAATCGGTGTAAATGTAAAAACTAAATAGGATCAATTGAGCTAGAACACACAAAAAAACACTTTTAAAATTGTGTAAATTTTTGAGGAGGTCTTTAGAAAACCCAACCTTGTGCTGTACATGTGAGCTCCTCCACACACAAACTCAAACACACACGCTTTTCTTCTTCACGTGATGTCTTTCCTCTCCGCTTGACCCAGTAACCTAAACAGAAAGCAGGAACATGCTCTCTCACTGGCCGTGTCCTGATGCTGTTGATTAACCTACTTAAATGATCCCGTCTCTCCAGCGTCTCTCCTGGACTTCATACAGCAAGTAATTGGAAACACGCTGAACAGAGACTTCCTAGAACTGCTCTGTTTTAAAGCAGCGCCAGAAGGCATTTCACATGAACTGTACATGAAAGAGAAAGACAAAGTGCAAAGGAAGGTGATTAAGATTATAAACTCAGGAAAGCTGCATTGTTTGCATTTCAAGGTAAAATCATTTTCGGCTTCATTTAAATCCTTGCCAAAAAGATTTGAAGTAGTTTTTTTTTCACTGAGGGTGAATTTATGTGGTCAAAAATACAAGTGTTATGAAATATAGTGTGAAAAATGCAGGGTCACACACAATTCATTCATGTTCCAACTAATTTGATTAACAAAACAAATGTAAGTGGACTGAACATAAAAAATAAGTTCCTCAGTAAAATCTCTAAAATTGTGTTGTTTAAACTCACTTTAAATAAGTAGTTTGAACAAGCAGCAAAACATTTTTAGAGTGTAATTTTGTTTATTTTTTCACTTCAGATATATTTTAAAAAGTCATTTATTTTTGTTGTGTTGCTGATTTTCTGCTTAGTTAATAACAAAATTGTATTATTATTATCATTAATAAGGATTCTTAGATTAAGGATGAATGGGAAGTTTGTTAAATGGGAAGTTTGTTAAATTAGATGTGTGTTGTCTTTAAGATGCCACCTACCTCCAAATAATTCTTGAGTGTAGTTAATGACCCTGTGTAAAGACCATAATTATTCTGTGGACAATTATTATTATTATTATTATTATAAATTGGTGTAAAATATTGATTGTAAAACATTTAAATAACATTCATTTTCTTTCGGCTTTGTCTCTTATTTGTCAGGGGTCGCCACCATGAACCACTATCTATTCGGCATATGTTTTATGCATGCGGATGTATCTCCACCCGCAGCCCGGTACTGGGAAATACCCATACACTATTGCATTCACTCCCATACTCAATACCAATTTCAGTCAGGGGTCGCCAAAATGGTAGGAACCACCAACTTATCCAGCATATGTTTTACGTAGCAGATGCCCTTCATTCACACTCATACACTACGCATAATTTAGCTTACCCAATTCACCTATACCACATGTTTTTGGACTTGTGGGGGAGACCGGAGCACCCGGAGGAAACCCACGCCAACAAGAACATGCAAACTCCACACAGAAGTGCAAACTGACCCAGCCGAGGCTTGAACCAGCGACCTTCTTGCTGTAAGGCGACTACCCACTGGGCCACCGTGCTGCCCTATATCATCAGTTACAAAAGCCAAAAAGTCTAATAAATCACAAAAAATAAATAAAATAATAAAAGGTTAAAGTGTATTGTTTTTTACTCAAACTTTCAATTTTCAATTCTTATATAAAGACTTGATTCTGATTATTGGCTGATTATTGGCTCTGATTATTGGCTTCACACATGACACATGATAGTTTAGAAATCATAATACCATGATTTGGTGCTCAATATACGTATTAATATTATTATTATTAATATTAATAGTATTATAGTAATTACATAGATTAAACAACATTAACATTAAACATTAATGTTTAAACATTAAACATTAATTACACAAAAAGTAATATTTATGTAATAATATTTAGCAGCATGCTACACTCTCAGAAATAAAGGTATGAGAGCTGTCACTGGGGTGGTACCTTTTCAAAAGGTACGCATTTATACTTGAAGGGCCATATTGGTAGCTCAAAAGTATACATTAGTCCCTAAAAATTTTAAGAATAATGTTTTTGTACTTTTAAGGTACTATACCCTTGAGGTATTAATATGGACTCACCAAGCAGCAGAAGACCACACCGGGTGCCGCTCCTGTCAGCTAAGAACAGGAAACAATTCGCACAGGCTCACCAAAACTGGACAATAGAGGATTGGAAAAACATTGCCTGGTCTGATGAGTCTTGACTTCTGCTGTGACATTTGCATGGTAGGGTCAGAATTTGGCATCAACAACATGAACGCATAGATTCATCCTGCCTTTTATCAATGGTTCAGGCTGCTGCTGGTGGTGTAATAGTGTGGGGGATATTTTCTTGCCACACTTTGGGCCCATTAGTACTAATTGGCCATTGTGTCAACACCAAATTTGGACCTTTTGAAAAGGGTGAACTTCTGAGAGTGTATGTCAAATGATGCAGCATTGGTGAAAATCCAAACTTTTGAATGATTGTATACAGTTGAAGTCAGAATTATTAGCCCCCCGGTATATTTTTCCCAATTTCTGCTTAACAGAAATTGGGAAGCGTTCACACTTCCATCACGCCAAGTGTTTGGATTCGAGCAGCAGATTGAGGCACGGCTGAAGGTGTGCAGCTGTAAACACTCGTCTTTTTGTAAGTCATTTGTAAACATAATAGTTTTAATGACTCATTTTTAATTTATTTTTTTGGCATGATGACAGAAAATAATATTAGACTAGATATTTTTCAAGACACTTCTATATAGCTTAATGTGACTTTTAAAGGCTTAACTAGGTTAATTAGGCAGGTTAGGGTAATTAGGCAAATCATTTTATAACAATGGTTTGTTCTGTAGACTATCAAAACAAAATATTGCTTAAGAGGACTAATCTTATTTACCTTAAAATGGTTTTAAAAAATAAAAAAAAATGCTTTTATTCTAGCTGAAATAAAACAAATATGACTTTTTCCAGAGAAAAAAAACATTACAGGAAATACTGTGAAAAATTCCTTGCTATGTTAAACATCAATGGGGAATATTGGGGAAAAGAAAATCACAGGAGGGCTAATACTTCGACTGTACACGATGATGTCATTCAAAAAAGAAACCCCACAATGTTAGAAAACCCACATACATCTCCAGTCAGTAAGCTGCACTGATCCTGTGTGTTTCCTTCAGCTCTTGATCTGATCTGACTCAGTGACTCTGGCCTCATGTGAGTTCTCGGTCACGCGTTCACACTTCCATCACGCCAAGTGTTTGGATTCGAGCAGCAGATTGAGGCACGGCTGAAGGAGTGCCGCTGTAAACACTCGTCTTTTGTTGCTCCTGTGATTCAGAGAGTTTCCTCTGAGACGTGAAGCTCTGTTAGCCATTATCATCCCGCTCTGAGTCACAGCTGCCCTTAAACTAATGCCTTATTAGGCCTGTGCTGAGGGGGTTTGAGGAAACCAAGTGTGCTGAGGAGAAATACATAGTGAGCTGGAGAGTTTGGAGTGATGGCCTTTCAGAGGATGTAAAATATAGATCCTTTTACTGGAGATTAATATGGAAGCAGCATGGTGGCTCAATGGTTAGCATTGTCATTAATAGATTAACTATATTGTTATTATTCTTTTTTTATATTTGTAGTATTTGTTAATATGGCGAAGCAGTACAGGATTAATAAAGGGACTGAGCCAACAAGAAAATGAATGAATGAATTTGTTATTATATGCAATAGTTTAAAATTATTTATTATTTTTATATCTTTTTATATTTATTAATTAATGTAGTTAATGACTTATTATTTGTATTAATATTTGTATTGTATTAATATATACAATAGATAAAATTGATTTATTATTATTATTAAGTATTTATAATAATAATATTAATAAGTTAATTAAAATGTGTCATTAATATTATTATTCTTTGTATTATTATTATTATTGTATTATTATATGCAATTATTTTAAACAATGTATTATTATTATTAATATTATTTTAAGTATTTATAATAATTAATTATTTAATATTTGACATTATTATTATTATTATTATTGTATTGTTGTATTATTATATGCAATAATTTAAATTCATGTATTATTATTTTTATAAATAATAATAATAATAACAATAATAAATTATTTACAATTATTGCTTGTAATAATACAATAATAAGAATTGTATTATATGCAATCATTTTAAATAATTAATTACTAAATAATTATTATTATAATTATTTAGAATCACTAATCAATATTTTAAATAACTATTATTGATTATTTATAATTTTTTGATTTTATAGTTTATTATAGAACTTGTTGCATAGCCACAGAATTATGTAGAGTTATATTCGGGTAGATTTGTGTTTTTGTATATTTATGCAAGTCTGTTCATATCACAGAATTTAAAAAGGTAATTGCATATTTAATTAATTGTTTTAATAATTAGTTATAATTAGGTATATCTTCCTTAAGGTATACCCTATATCTTAGATATATGTGTTAAATATAATTAACAAAATGCAAATATTTTAGGGATTTAATTTGAATAATTATGTTCTGAATTTATTGTTGACTAATAAATAAAAGTTTGAAATATAATATTTTAAATATATTACCGCAAAAATAGGGTATAATTTGCTCTTCTACAGGGACAGATATTTTCTGTATTATTTCTTTACAATACTTTACCCGTTAGACATGCATTATATAATGTATATCAATTTCAAATCTACTATTAAAACATAATTACATGTATAAAAAAACTCATAATATTAATAATTTATTATTGTTATTATATAGTTAGACAGATTTAATTTAGCATCAAATATGGTAAATCCCGACAATCATACACATGTAATTCTATTTTTTATTAAGTATTATTAATGAAAAAAATACATTATTTAATTAACAAATTGAATTAATAAAATAAAAAAATTATATAAATATTCAACAACACATAGTTATATAAAAATTCAATACACAATATTTAAAGAATATAAAGAAAGTCATCCAAGAATTAAGAAAAGTTTGAGGAAAAATGTATATATTTTAGATGCTGTAATCTCTTTTTATCATTATTGGAGTTCACTTAAAAAAAGTTTCTTGATTAATGTCAGCTCATAAAGTTAGCTTCAGTAGCCAGAGAACTCATTTGAGACGTTTAACTTGAAGAACAGAAATCTAAGGGGATTTTAATTTCACATCTGTCATGTATTATCTGCTAATTCTGTCTGTCGTGGCTGAAGAAACGACAACCTCAGCTCTAAAGAAGAAACGCTAGTCAAGCACTGTCATTTTATTGTATTATTGTATATTCACTGTTGCCAGTAAGTTACCACAACTGCTCCTTTACAGTAACTTGCCTGTAAATGTGTTTCACAGTAGCAGGCCCTACCGCAACTCCTTTTATGGTAA